CACTATGGTATATTGTAGTTATGTACTATGTGAATTATGTTCTATGTGAATTAAATGAACCAGAATCGCCTCTAAGCCGTGCAGAAGTCTTTTTTCATGGTCTCTTCGAACTCCTCCCACACCTGAATTTTTGCTTCAGCGACCACCCGAGCCGCAATCCGCTTGGACTGCCGATACCTATCGGCTGCTTCCAGAGTCCAACAGGCCAAAAGGACTGGGATGTGACTCCTTTTTCAGCCTGCCAGCATTCCTCACCGCCCGTGTCAACCAGCGGGTTCGAGGGTTGCCGCCACGACAGGCACCGACAACCTTGGCCACAGCTCAGGTAAGCCGCCTCGACAGTGGAGGCATGGAACATGGCCCATTCGGACTCGATGTCCCCCACTTCCCCCGGAATGTGTTCAAAGTTCTCCCAGAGGTGTGAGTTGAAGCTCAGTCTGACGGGAGACTCTGACAGACGTTCCCAGCAGACCCTCACTATACATTTGGGTCTGGCAGGTCTGACAGGTATCCTCCCCCACCAACGGAGCCAACTCACCACCAGGTAGTGGTCAGTTGACAGCTTCACCCCTCTCTTCACCCGAGTGTCCAAAACATGCAACCGCAGATCAGATGAAACGACAACAAAGTCAATCATCGAGCTGCGGCCTAGGGTGTCCTGGTGCCAAGAGCACATATGGACACCCTTATGTTTGAACATGGTGTTTGATATGGACATACCATGACAAGCACAGAAGTCCAATAACAAAACTCCGCTTGGGTTCAGATCGGGGGGGGGGGTCCTCCCAACCATGCCCCTTCAGATCTCAGTGTCATTGCCCACGTGAGCATTGAAGTCCCCTAGCAGAACGAGGGAGTCCCTGTTAGCAGCGCTCTCCAGCACCCTCCCCCCACTCAAGGACTCCAAAAAGGGTGGGTAGTCTGAACTGCTGTTAAGCGCATAGGCATAAACAACAGTCAGTACCCATCCCCTTACATGTATGCGGAGGGAGGCTACCCTCTCGTTCACCGGGGTGAACCCCAACATACAGGCACCGAGATGGGGGGCAATAAGTATGCCCACTCCTGCTCGGTGCCTCTTAGCTTGGACAACTCCAGAGTGGAAGAGTGTCCAAGCCCTCTCAAGGAGACTTGTTCTAGAGCCAGAGCAGTGCATTGAGATGAGTCTGACAATATCTAGTTGGAACCTTTCAACCTCACACACCAGCTCAGGCTCCTTCCCCACCAGAGAGGTGACATTCCATGTCTAGAGCCAGCTTCTGTAGCTGAGGATTGGATCACAAATGGTCCTCGTCTCTGACCACTAACCAACACACAATGCACCCAACCCCTTTGGCCCCTTCCATAGGTGGTGAGCCCATGGGAAGGGGGACCCACAGCTCCTCTTCAGGCTGTGCCCGACCGGGCTCCATGGGCGAAAGCCCGGCCACCAGGCGCTCGACAGCGTGTCCCACCTCCAGACCTGGCTCTAGAGTGGGGCCTCGGTGACCCGCGTCCAGGCGAGGGAACTCTATGTCCATTTGTTGCACTCATCATAGGGGTCTTTGGGCTGCACTTGGTCTGATCCCTCACCAGACCTGTTTGCCTTGGGTGACCCTACCAGGGGCATGAAGCCCCTGACAACATAGCTCCTAGGATCACTGGGACACTCAAACCTCTCCACCACTATAAGGTGGCAGCCCACACATGATTTCCATGTGTTTGAGGTAAGGTAGAAACATTGAGCCTTGTAAAAAGTCTTTCAGATAAAAGATCAAAAGACTGGGTGGACATGGATATCATGTTTATAATGGATATAATGTTATTGAGCCATTTACAAATATATGCAACTTCAGTCAGTTTCAACATAAATTATTAAGGGTATTAAAAG